ATCTTCTTCAATATCACCTTCTACAATAATCTCTTCTTGATCTAATAAATATGACCTTCTTCCCTCCATTTTATATATAATTATAGGCTGATGATAAATATATCAACCTATATAGTTATTTTTTAAATTATTAATTCGAATTATTTATCTCACTTTAAAAAATGTTATAAAAAAAATGCAACAAAAATTTGTGAGTGCGTGCGCCGGGTATTTTTTTACCGACAGTGACAATAGATGGAATTTCAGTGGGAGCTGTCAAAATGTGAAACCAAAACTTTATATAATTGATGAGTCAGGAAGCTAAACGAAACCACATCTCCGCCAACCGATTTTTTATTGGTTAATTCTCCATTCAAATGTTGCCATGGGTAATTTTCACCGGCGCGCGCAATGCCGGGTTAAAACATCTCAACACAGAAAAACCAAGCGGGGGTCCACTCCAACCCGACCACACACCCGAGTATACAACCGGATAATTATTGAGATATTATATGATATATTTCCGGTAGATCTATTTTTCTATTGATGCTGTTTGTTTGTGTTGATATGATGGATTCCAGTACCAATCTGTGCTGCTTATTATTTATGTGTTGATATAGGATTTTAGGATGATCTAAGTTAAAGTTATGGCCAGTGTTTGAAATATGTTGGTATATAAGCGATTTCGGGTCTCTATTGTTTATGTTTCGTTTGTGTTCGGTTATTCTTGCCAGGATTGCCCAGCCTCCTATGTGGGACAGACTGGCAGAACCGCGTATATCAGAATAACCGAACACAAACGAAACATAAACAATAGAGACCCGAAATCGCTTATATACCAACATATTTCAAACACTGGCCATAACTTTAACTTAGATCATCCTAAAATCCTATATCAACACATAAATAATAAGCAGCACAGATTGGTACTGGAATCCATCATATCAACACAAACAGCATCAATAGAAAAATAGATCTACCGGAAATATATCATATAATATCAATAGTTATCCCGTTGTATACTCGGGTGTGTGGTCGGGTTGGAGTGGACCCCCGCTTGGTTTTTCTGTGTTGAGATGTTTTAAATTATACTGGTTTTTAAACTATACAAAATTTTAGTGTCACACTACTTGCATACAGTGAATATCATCATTTTACTTAACTTTTAGCGTATAAAAGTATTTGCCATAATTTTATCTAAATTTTAAAAATCTTTAAGTTCATTTACATAGTTTTATTTTTATATTTCATAGTCATAATTCCTATTTCTATTTTAATTACATTTGAAATATCACTTCGCATGTAAATTCATAAGTTGTATATAATGGCTCAAGCGCGCTTATACCCTGTTAGTATAGTCATACTAGCCACGCCTGTAGAAGGACCGAAAGGTTCGAAAGCTTGCATAAGTATAATAAAAGATCCTCCTTCGTAAAACTTTTTATTCGTTATACAAGATTTAATTATTTAATATTTTAAATACCTGTGATTAATTTATAGTGTCAATATATTTATAAAGGACTTTTTATTTTAATAATTTTATATTAGCAATTTTTTAATTATGTTTTAGCGCCAACGTAAACAAAGAAATACTGGCGTAATACGTTCCAATGGTGCCAACACGGTTATATTTAATAGGCATATCCAAAAAAATAAAAATTATAAAATTAATATTAATATAAATTACATTAGCCTAACCTAAACCTAACCTAAACTAATCAAACCTAACCTGAACCTAACCTAACCTAACCTAAACGAACCTGAACCTAACCTTAAACGAACCTAACCTGAACCTAACCTTAAACGAACCTAACCTGAACCTAACCTTAAACGAACCTAACCTGAACCTAACCTAAACGAACCTGAACCTAACCTTAAACGAACCTAAACGAACCTGAACCTAACCTTAAACGACCTAAACTAACCTGAACAAACCTGAACCTAACCTAACCTTAAACGAACCTAAACCTATCTTAAACTAACCTAAATTAATTACGAAATTTTAATATTAATTAATAATTAATTTTATAATAATTTAAAATATCGGACACCATTGCTCTCAAGATATTAACATCATGTGCATTCATAACACACACGTGTTTACAATTGCGCTAAATATTTTCAAAAAAATTTCTAATTTAAAATAGAAGGCCATTTAGACAAAAAATAAATATAGTGAAAATATAAATTAATCACAGGTATTTAAAATATTAATAATTAAATCTTGGTTAAAAAAAAAAACAATGAATCAATCATAACCTTTACATCGCGCGTCATCATGACGTCATCGTGATGTCATATTTCAGATCTGGCCAAAACTCTCGGGGTCACCCCATAGTGGGAAAACCTTGCAACCATTCTGGAAAGTCATTGTCCGTAGATGACCAGACTTAAGTCTGGAAATCAAAGACTGTTGTTCTCTTGGGAGGACAGAACCGGTGCTTGTCCCTCCTGCTCTTGTATACTAAGTTTTTGTTTTTCATTATAGTCATGTAATTTTTATTAGGGTGGCCCAATCTTTTATGCCAAATATCCCAATTAAGTTTGAAGACTTTATCTTCTTCATCCCTTGAACCAGAGGAGTTTATTATATAAAAATCATCAATTTTTGGAGCTTCCAATATGACTTGATCCCTGAAATCCTTGGTACAATTTGAAGGTTTTAGATAGAGTGCCATTTTATTTGACCCTGATGTATCTATTTTTAAGGAAATCATTTATCCAAGTGATAGCTTTTCCATCAATTTTGAAATGTTTGTATAATTTTGTAATTAACTTGTTTTCCATACCTTATCAAAAGCTTGTGTAAGGTCTAAAAAGCAGCTATTGTGTGGTTAGTTAGTTTTCTGTTTTGTGCATCTTTTGCCTTTTGTGTGAAAAATAAGAGTTGGTCTATTGTCCCATGTCCTTTCCTAAGTCCATATTGTTCTTCTGGTAAGAGATTTCTTGTGTCGAGGTGGTAGGTGAGTCATCTGAGTATAATTTTTTCCATTAATTTGCTGCAAATACTTGTGAGGGAGATAGGTCAGTAGTTTTTTGGGTCATCAGCAGATTTGTCAAGTTTTTGAAAATATCAAGAAGTCTTTTTTTGCCATTTTTGCCCAAGTTTGATATCATTTGGCCATGGATTCCATCTGGCACAGGAGTCTTGTTTAGGTCAGTGTTTTCTAATGCATAATCTAGCTCTTTCATATTGATTTTTTCAAGGAAAATATTATGAGTGCTAGTGACGTTTTTACAGTCATGGATAATCTTTCGGGCCTTTTTTCAACTTTCTTATCTTTTACTCCAAATTTGATTTTACTACTTATTTGATATGAATTAGCTAAAAGATGCTGCTAAAAGATTAGCAGCATTTTTGTCATTAGTTGCTGGGGTACCATCTGTATTCTTAATCATATTTGTGTTTTCAGTTTGTGGCTGGGCTCTGTCAATTTGTTTTGCCAAATGCCAGTTTTGTATTTGGGTTTCTTGGGTTCAGGTTTTCACAAGTTTGTTTCAATTTTTCCCTTTTCATATTTACGTATAATCTTTTTATTTTTGCATTCACAATGTTCAGTTCAGTACTACAATTTGTTTGGTTTTAGGTGCACTTTTTTTGTAGTTCATTTCTTTTAGATGTAAGTGTTTGAATATTTTTTGCCTGGTGTGTATAATTTGAAATCCATTTCTTAATATTACCTCTTGGTATTGAAACTGTCATATTTTGTTTGTAGGTTCTTAAGTTTGGAAGTCAATTTTTATCAATACTATTCGATTTATAATTTTTCTATTATACTAAATGATCCAACAAAAAAACTTAAAAAATAAATTTAATACCGTACTTAAAAACTGGAGAAAAAACAAAAATAATAATTATACCCTTTTAACCAAGTTGAAAAAGTATGATGCACATGTTCCAAATAAATTAATGATGCTCCAAAGGTTCACAGGCCTAACTGTCCATTACGCCCAATAGTAAACAACATGGTTAGCACAACAATTGAAAATCTACCAATATTTTAATGAAAATGAAATTGTTAACTCCTATGAATTCAAAGAAGATATTGAATTATATCTTTAGATGTTGAATCCATGTTTACTTCAATACCCACAATTATGGATGCACCATGTAAAAAAAATGCCAAAATCAGAATTTTAAGTAGAATTTTGTTTAAAAACAACGTACTTTATTTATGATGAACAAATGAAACGTGCAACAATGTTTCACCAAATGTATTTCTATAGGTCAGTTAGAAATTGTGGCTCTGAATTCACTAAAAAATGATGTCTACTATTTTAGAAGATATGTGGATGACTTCAGGGAAGTGAGCAAAGAATATTTCCTGGACATAAAATTAACATATACCATTATTGCCACCTCTATATATAAAAAGCTGACAGGAATGTATTGAACTATAGTTCACAGCACCATTTCAGTCAAAAAGTGGGGTTGGTCAAAGCTCTTATAAATAGGACTTTTGTACTCATTGATGATGTGGTTAAAAGAAATCAACATATCAAAAAAACACCTGATCAAGGAAGATCAAATTGTTAGATCGAATAATAGAAGATATCAATAAAAAATACAAAAATAATACTTTGATTCAGAGTGCAAAGTGGAAAACCAGGAAGCCAAATTTATAACATTGTCATATATAAACCAAAGGTTGCAAAAAATTTCACCAATATATTCAAAAAATATAAATATTGCATGGGAACATGTAACACTGAGAACTTTGAGTGTTGTAGCGCAAGAGAATATTTACACTTTTATAATACTTTTATTTCAACACCACATCAAACCTCTTTCTGAAGTTGCAGAGCCAATGTTGAGACACCAATACAAGTGGCAATTTGGGCCTTTGTAGACAAATGTTGGTTTTACCTACACTCTATTGTTACCTTTGGTATTTAACTCACCCCAACTAGAAAGCTGTTCAGTGAAACAAATTCTGTGGTTCCAGACTTCCTTCAATGGTGGAGGATGCATAAATTTGCCAGGCCTGGACAACTGGCAGATTCCACCCAGATGTGGGAGCTAGAGCATCAGCAAGGAAGTCTGATGGCAAGTCTCTTTTTATTGCTCTCATTTCTAACCTTTTATTATCACAATGTCATGTGTATAACCATTTGTCTTCTTTCTTATCTCATAACCATTTGTCTTCTTTCTTATCTCATAACCATTTGTTATAATGTCTAGTGGGAATTTCTTAAGAGAGTCCCAATTTATAAACTGAAATGTGTCTAGGGTGGAAAGGGGACATTTTTTCCAGATTCTTATCTTTGTTGATAGCAATTCCACTGCCAGACAGTCCAGTTTCATGTTGGCTACCGTCAGTGTAAATTGTGATGTCGAAGAGGGAGCTATTTTCCTCAATGATTTGGAGGCCAAGAGCTTTAAGTAATTCTGGCCGAGTTTCATGTTTGTGGGGATTGGCTGGTAGATGAGGGTAACAGATGTGTTTGTTGTGAGTTCTGTGTGGGGAATAGGAAGTTATGTGTTTGGGATTAATTGGAATGTCTAAGAGATGCGAGCCATGTTGAGAGGAGTTGGGTGTTTTAGTCTTTGATTTGGGACCCAATTTCTAAAAATTTTCCTATAAGATGTTCTTCTGGAGAGTTAATCTTTTTGGTTATGAATTTTGAAAAGCAGATTTTTCTCCTTAGGTGTAGGGAAAGAAGGTTGTATTTGAGTTCAGCATTGCGATTTGGGCAAGATCCTTGAAGCCCCCTGATGATTTGAGCTGCGCTTGGATTCTGGATATATTGGTTTTACTTGCATTGATCCAGGCTGGTGTAGCATATTCCAAAATAGGTCTTACGAGTGCACGGTACATTGTGCGTAAGATATTGGCATTTGCACCCCAGTTAAGCCTGATATTTTATTCAGGATTCTGAGTCGGCTTTGTTTTATCATGGTGTCAATGTTTTTTAAAAGTCAGAGCAGGGTCAAGTGTGACACCAAGATATCTTGGGGAATCTGAATATTGGATTATTGAGTTGTTCAATGAAATATTTGGGGTCCACTGGCGAAAGTGGTTGTTGATGGTGAAGAGGCCAATTTCAGATTTGCTGATGTTAATTAATAATTTCAGTTTCTCTGTTATCTTTTGCAGATTTTTCATGGCTTTATTCAGAGAGTGTTCTGCATCAGAGAGGTTGTTTTTGGAGACCCAGATGATTCTGTGTAAAGGGCAAATAAGATGATAATTGAAACTGCTGATAATTGGGATATATGATAATTGGGACACCAGATAATTAGGACTAATTATGTCTTCTTCTGTCACTCAATCATGATTATATTTGTGACTCCTGATATTTGAGACTGCAGAAATGATCCCTAATATTGTGAAACATTCCTTTATACTGGATTCCAACAATCATTGCCAGGACCTGTTTGTTGCAGCACTACTATGGAGCCTTCACATGGAACTCCTGCCAAGGAAACAAGACTGCTACCAATGTCCCCTCCTACACCTTCACTTATCCCTGAGAGGGTTTTGAAGGTCAGATCCAATCTATGGTATATTGCACCAATAATTGCAGCAAGCAGCCAATAGAGTTCTTATGCAGTAGCTTCCTACTGAGTGATTATTTATTATGAGTGACAAGAAGCACTGTCAATATTCTCACCGCCAGGCCACAGCCTAATATGACATTCCAGCAACTTGTTACACTGAGCCTCACACACCATTTTTACACTTGGCTCATATTTTATTACATACTAAACAGGTGACCCGGGCTTCGCCCCGGGATTGACCTGTGTGCATATCTACTCGAGTGATATATATTTAGATAAGATTTTTTTAAATAATTGTTTGTTATTAGCATTATCTATTTGTTTGCATCAGCATAATTTAATCTAATCTTTGATAGAGGGCGCTGTTCGTGAGCTAAGTAGAATAATTTGAATATATAGTATTTTATAATTGATTTATATATTTTTTAAAATAGCCTATCATCTTCCCCGTATTTTTTTTACCTATATATGGAAATTTTGGTTTGAATTAGTGAACTACTGCGAATTTGTATACCGGACATACAAACATACAAACATTGATTTTATATATATAGATGTACACCCCTCTTTATTTTTTTTTAATTTTCAGAACTTATTTGACAAAAAAAAAAGATACTCACACAAGCACTCTATGGTATATTGCACCAATAATTGCATCAAGCAGCCAATAGAGTTCCTATGCAAAGATTTCCCAGTATTTAATCAATCCTGAATGCCATCAGGGGTTGTTCCACCATCTAATAACAATAGTCCATCATTGAGGTTGGGTTGGTTGGTCCTCTGGTAGGTCAAGCTGACATGAGTGTAATGTGAGGATTATTACAAGTTCTCTTTCATTGGACGTCAGGAAGTTTCTCTGCTATGTCCACAAAAGGTAACTTGCCCCGTTGATCTAGCAGATGTCTTTGATTATTGGAGCTCTTTGACAGGCCCAAACCACCAATAGGATTCCCTAGATAAAACTTGTAGGAATGTATTTAACTATGTGTGCACACACATATTGTGAAAATATACAAGAATGGAACATAGCACTTGTTGAGGTCCAGAAAGAAGGTGGTGTTAAGGGGGTCTACATATTAGTAGAAAAACCAGGTAGCTCTCATTAAATCCAGAAGGAGAAAGGACAGGGCATATTTTGTCCATTATTTATAAGCCAATATAGAGCAGTAAAACTATCTTTGACCTATCAGACATGTAAGAACTATAATATATATTACCTGTGCTATACACACCTTCTCATAGTAATATTTCAACCAAATTGTGGACAACCTCCAGGTGAGGCTGGGTTAGGCCTTACATGGGTGGAGACTTGTGCATTGTTTAAAAATCAAATGTTCCATCAAGTAATGTTCCCCTATTTCTTTGACACCTGAAGTGTTATTATGGAGACATATCCGTAAGTTGTACATCTTTAATTCCTGTAAATCATTTCTTGAAATCTCTCTTTTCCAGAATCATACCTGCACAATATGATGTTCAATATCGTCCATTATCATGTGTGCACAGTGTGTGTATAGTCTTTTATCACATGTTTTATCAGATTTTGAAATATGCTCCAGATTGATTTTAAGGACATTGGTTAATGCTGAGGTGAGCTTCTTAACCTTCTCTGAGACTGTTTTTGAAACATTCATTAAGCGCACTATATAGAATACTAGGGATGTGTGTAGTAGTTTTTGCCATGCCTCATAGCAGCCTGGGAATGCCTTTGCCAATAAATTATCATCTTCTGTTGGGTTGTGTCTCTCCTATTGATAAAGGCATCAACCGTTGCTCTTTTCAGCGCTGTGTTGAACTTCCAATCGGTCAATAAGCAGCTTGCACCGCCTATCCCTCTCTGCTGTTCTCGGTGGCCTTGATGACCGGGCAGGAAAGTGAATCAGTGGAGGTACAGGTGGGCAAGGAGAGGATGGATGTGTGTTTTGTTTGAGTAGGTGTGTGAGAAGATTTGTGGAGTGATTGGCCTCGATGAGGCGTTGTTGGTACGTGTGTGAAGGTGTGAAAAAGTTTTATTCAGGGTTTCGTTAAATTATTGGTTTGGCACTGTGTTTGTCACCACACCTGTGACATTTAGCCACAGTTTTGTTGTCACAGGCCTTAGAAAGATGCGCACCAGCGCAGTGGCTACATTTAGCCGCCCTAGTGCACTTTCCATTGTTGTGGGTCCTGTGACTCAAGCTGCCACAGACACCACATGGGAATATGCGCTTTGCTCTAGCGAGTCTCAGTGATAGGAAGTCAATTGTGATCCTACCACGCTCGAGCAAGGCAGTCTCTACTTCCTTATTTACTTCTACTATCGCAGTGGAGGGGGCACCCTCTTTCTTAATCAGTTCCACCATCCTGATGTTTTCGCCACTTTTCAGCAGCTTTTCGACAACGGATGGCTACTAATATCAGCCACAAGCTGCTCCTCAGTTTTCTCTCCAGGAATAACGAAGATAGCAAGCCTGGGCTTGAATGTGGGGTTTGTCTGGACTTTAAGTCCACCAATGTTGGCGGACTTAACGTTGTCCACAAGCCTCTTTTTTTCAGAGGGGTTGGCGAAGTGGAGGACAAGTTTTTTTTATCCCTCCCTGTCACCGCGGCTACATCACAATTTTTTAAACTGGGAGTTTGGGCGATTTTTGCCCTAATCTCACTAACAGTGAGGTCCTTGGAAGCGAGCTTCACGTGGTTGGTGCTGTTACGCAGCATATGCTCGTAACTGGGTTTAGTTGGTTTAGCAGGCTTAGCACCTGCATTGGTTGGCTGGGTGACTTTATTCGTCACAGGGGCTGGTTTGGGAGGAGGTGTTGGAGCTACTTTTTTAATAGAGGCTGCGTGCGCAGCCCTGATTTCTTTCTTCTACTCTGGTATTTTGCAGCTGGCGAGCAGCATATCAATTGTTCCGTACAATTTTTTATTGGCTGCAGAGTCCAGTTCCCCGCTAAGCCCTACTCCAATTTCATGCTGCAAGATTTCCCTGTAGCTTGAAAAGGATGTTTCTATCTCTTCCCACCCCTCCCTAAAAGCTGTGTTAGAGTTTGAAGGTTTGATAGGAGGAGGAAGAGAAGGAGTGACCCAGGGACACTCACCATTTTGGAGAGTTGGGGCAGAAGAAGAAGCGGAGGTATCCGCCGCGTTCATAGTTGAGAATATCCAAGATTAATCCAAGAGTGTAGGGGTGCACTGTTAGGTGGCCCGGGACTTGAATGATGATTCACGCTCGTTGGCGTGTCTATTATTATTATGCCTTCTACATGCTTTCGGAGACACGCTCGTTGGTGTGGAAGAGTTAAATGGCCGAGTGCGGCCGCTCTGGAGATCCCGCATTTTGATTGGCTGCGGGCGGAAAAAATCCGGGGAGGATAAATGGCGTTTGGCGGCCGTCCAAGAGATCCGGGGAATTAAATAATTTTTATCCTCGTCTGGTTTCTTGGTGAATTGGGGCTGGGCGTCCAAGGATGTATCCTTGCAGGACCGCTGGCGCTGGGGAACAGGAGCACAGGAGACCAGGGGCACTATAGAGAAATTCCTATTTAGCTTCGGCATAGGTGGGCAGGGAGAGGATGTTTGCAATTTTTGTTCAAGGAGATGAGTGAGGAGGTTTGTGGAGTTGTTGGCCTCGAGGAGGCGTTGTTGGTGTATTTTCGAGATGTGTGCAAAAGTTTTTTTTAGAGCAAAGCGGAAACCATCAGCAAGGGTGGGGTCAACAGAGTCAGCATAAGGGGCAAGGATGTGATAGGTCCAGTTTAGATGTAGGAGGTGTGAGGGGTTGTTGGTTGGGAACATGTCACATGTGGGTGGAGGTGAGTCAAGGGTTGTAGTGTTGTTGAGGTGGTTGGCGTAGGTGGAGTGGTGTGTGTACATGTGTGGATGAGGTAGGGTGAAGAGGGGTGGAGGAGCTCACCCCTGGTCAACTGCCAAGGTCCAGATTCCCGCCGATGGTAGGGTCGAGCAGGGAGTAATCCAAGAGAGTAGGTGTGCACTGTTCGGTGGCCAGGAACGTGAATGATGATTCACACTCGTTGGCGTGGAAGTGTTAAATGGCCGAGTGTGTCGAGGCTGCGGTTTGGAGTTTGGTTTTTGTGAGCTCCAGAGGGAGGAGACAGCGTTGACATCTCCTGCGAAGAGAAGGCGGGGAGGGGGGGGAGCCAAAGAGGGAGATAAAGGAGTCGACGATGGGGGAGTAAGAAGTGTGGTGGGGGAAGTATACGGAGCAGAGAGTAAGGTGAAGGCCGGGGATGTCAAGGATTGCGAGGGTGCGGTTGGTGGTGGAGAGTCGTGGGAGGAAAATGACGGGAAGGCTTTGATTAAGAACAATTATACAGGAGTTACACCGGTTGTTAGAGATGGGAGCATGGAGGAGGGGGTGGGAAATGGGGAGGGAAGGGCATTGTCACGGACCGGAAGTTCTTGAAGGAGAAGGATATCTATATGGGAGAACTGGGCAAATTGTAGTAAGGAGAGGTAGCAAGGGAGGGATCGGTTGCAGTTAAGCTGTAAGAACTTAAGCATTTAGGGCAGGTTGTGCCCCCAGGAGCAGATGAGGTGTCAGAGGTGGGGGTGGCCCCCGGGGGGGGGCACTGGGAAGAGGGTGCAGGACGGAGCGGACCCGACCCTGGCGGAGCGTCGGCGGGAGGGCCCGCCGGCGGACGCGCGGGAGCGGGCGGACGAGCCGCCGGGTGTGTGGCGGTGGGTGGCGTGGCTGCTGCTCGCAGGGAAGGGCGGGCGGTGGAGCCAGCGCGGCGGAGGTTGGAGGCTCTCCAGGCAGTGGGGGGAGGTCGAGTGGCGGTGTGCGGCCACTCAAGAGGTCCAACGCTCTGATTGGACGCCCACAGGAAATTATTCAGGGCGACAGACGGGGCAGGTGGCCGCCTGGGAGGACCGAGGAATTAAAATGAACAAACGTTCGGGCAGGACAGGGTGGAGGTGGTCCCACGGCAGGGGAACCCGCGGGGGAGAAGAGGCAGCGGCCCGCGAAGGGGCGGAGGCAGGAGCGCAGAAGAAGGAACCACGCGGTCGGAGTCCGCGGCGACTATATCCCCCGACGCTCGTTGCCGTGGAAGTGTTAAATGGCCGATTGCGGCCACTCTGGAGATCCCGCATTTTGATTGGCTGCGGGCGGAAAAAATCGGGGAGGATAAATGGCGCTTGGCGGCCGTCCAAGAGATCCGGGGAATTAAATAATTTTTATCCTCGTCTGGTGTCTTGGTGAATTGGGGCTGGGCGTCTAAGGATGTATCCTTGTAGGACTGCTGGCGCTGGCGCTTTTAAGCGAGATATTCTTCTTTACATAAGTAATAATTCCAATATTCTCAGGTGCTTTTCCCTCTACAATGATCTTCCCCATTAATTTCTGGAGAGGTTCTTTATTTGCTATTTGAGAACTAGTGTTTGTTTTCAGAACTTGAATATATGTCCTTTCATTTTTTTCCATAAGATTTTTTAACTTATAATCGATTTTACTATTATTTTCCTCCATCATTTCCCTTGTTTCCTTCACCAATGCCTCCATCCTTTCACCAAAATCAATCTTCATATCTTCTATCATTTCCTTTTGTGATTTTGCGTTATATTCCAAATTTTTGTTTAGATTAATTAATTCCAGATTTTGTGGCAAAATTTTCATAAAATCCATCAAATCATTCTGAATTAAAGTTACCATCTTTTTCTGCGATTCCACTCTACTTGATTTTCTATTAATGAAATTTGCGATGTTTTCAATCAAACTGTTCAACATAGGAAACATTTTTTTTGTTTCTTCAGAAATTTCCATAACTTCCATTATAATTTCTATTTGTTTAACAATGAATATTTCATACTATGCGAAATTTTTAAAAGTTTTTCTCTATTTTTCCTTATGCAAATATTCCCAAGATTAACTTTTAACAAATTTGTTTCTTCTTTTTTATCAAATTTTAGGCTTAGTAACTTCTACTTTTTTTCGTAGTTTTCTACTTTTATAAAAAAAATTTTAAACATATAAATAAGAGAAATTATTCAAATATATATATACCTACTGCTTTTATATTCCAAAAAGTGAAAATACAGCAATTTTAAGGTAAGAAAGTATTTTTTTTGCAGAGCTCTTTTCACGCGATGTTTACCGCTCGCGATCTGCGCAGGCGTAGGTGGAGTGGTGTGTGTACATGTGTGGATGAGGTAGGGTGAAGAGGGGTGGAGGAGCTCACCCCTGGTCGACTGCCAAGGTCCAGATTCCCGCCGATGGTAGGGTCGAGCAGGGAGTTGAACATGCTCGGGTGGACAAGCTTCGCGTGTCTGATAGAGGTGCGAAATCTATTATATAATTTCTTATAAAATATCTTTAACACGCTTCTAACAGGCTCACAAACTTTTCTCCAAACCCTTTCAACTTTTTGAGTAGCCCTTTGGAACGGATTTAGTTCAGGTTTCCACCAAGTGGGTTTCTTAAAAAAAAAAATATTGGTGGAAGGTTTAGAGGGATTGGTTTGAAGACAGGAGTGAGGTCCGCGGAAGCGAGCTTCACGTGGTTGGTGCTGTTACGCAGCATATGCGCGTAACTGGGCTTAGTTGGTTTAGCAGGCTTAGCACCTGCATTGGTTGGCTGGGTGACTGGGCTGACTCACCAGGTCGAAGGATACATCCTTTGGGGCTGAGGGGAGGAGGAGGAGCACAGGTTGTTGGCAGAGGGTGGTCGATTGAGGAGGGGGGTAGGGATCAAGGGCATGGGTGAGTTGAAGGAGGCTTGGTTGGGCGTCGTCGTGAATTCCATCTTGTTTGATGTGTAATCCAGTGGGGGTGGGGTAGTGGTAGCAGAGGCGGTGAAATAACCGCTTCTCAAGAGCATAAGTGCCGTGGGAGCGGCTATGAATGCTCAGTGGAGCGGGCGGAAGCTTGAATGAAGTGGGGAGGCCGCCGCGGCGATGTGCACAGGTCGGTGACCAGAGGTAGAATGACGATAAAAATCCTGGAAGCGACCGACGTGGGGTCGTTTAGAACACGCGGAGAACTCGGGGAAAAAAAAAATGGCCGAGTGCGGCCGCCCTGGAGATCCCGCATTTTGATTGGCTGCAGGCGGAAAATATCCGGGGAGGATAAATGGCGTTTGGCGGCCGTCCAAGAGATCCGGGGAATTAAATAGTTTTTATCCTCGTCTGGTTTCTTGGAGAATTGGGGCTGGACGTCCAAGGATGTATCCTTGTAGGACCGCTGGCGCTGGGGAACAGGAGCACAGGAGACCAGGGGCACTATAGAGAAATTCCTATTTAGCTTCGGCATAGGTGGGCAGGGAGAGGATGTTTGCAATTTTTGTTCAAGGGATGAGTGAGGAGGTTTGTGGAGTTGTTGGCCTCGAGGAGGCGTTGTTTGTGTATTTTCGAGATGTGTGCGAAAGTTTTTTTTTAGAGCAAAGCGGAAACCATCAGCAAGGGTGGGGTCAACAGAGTCAGCATAAGGGCAAGGATGTGATAGGCCCAGTTTAGATGTAGGAGGTGTGAGGGGTTGTTGGTTGGGAACATGTCACAGTGGGTGGAGGTGAGTCAAGGGTGTAGGGTTGTTGAGGTTGTTGGCGTAGGTGGAGTGGTGTGTGTACATGTGTGGATGAGGTAGGGTGAAGAGGGGTGGAGGAGCTCCCCTGGTCGACTGCCAAGGTCCAGATTCCCGCCGATGGTAGGGTCGAGCAGGGAGTTGAACATGCTCGGGTGGACAAGCTTCGCGTGTCTGATAGAGGTGCGAAATCTATTATATAATTTCTTATAAAATATCTTTAACACGCTTCTAACAGGCTCACAAGCTTTTCTCACGCCCTTTCAACTTTTTGAGTAGCCCTTTGGAGCGGATTTAGTTCAGGTTTACACCAAGTGGGTTTCTTAAAAAAAAAAAAAATATTGGTGGAAGGTTTAGAGGGATTGGTTTGAAGACAGGAGTGAAACACCTCGTCCTCTAGTAAATTAATTACTTCATCAACTTGAGTTGTGTCACTCGCGTCCAGTAAGGAGGAGATTCTAGACATTTTTTTTTTAAAGTGAGATAAAAAAAATCCCAGTCGGCGCGACCAAAGCTGAAGTGTACTTCGCTAAAGTTGTTTAAGTGTATGTCGTTATTGCTGTTAGAAGAGAGGGGTTCAAAATTAACGTTAAACACGAGGCATTTATGGTCAGATAAAGCCTGGTTGATTGCATGCCAGTTGGCGACCTTGTCCGCGAGGCCGGCAGAACAACACGTGACGTCGATGGAGGAGGACCTCTCGCCCTCCTCCCACGTGATCATGCCGTGTTTGTTGACAACGTGGAGCAAGTTAGCGTCAAGGAAGTTTTCGACAATTTCTCTGTTAGAGCATTTGTATTTAAGCAACCACGCTTTATTTGACCATCTATAGGATTAAATATTAAAGTCCGGGCAAAAAATCACCTCGTGGAAATTAATTGTTTTTAAAGAGTTGTCTATCCTATCAAGAAGAGCATCGGAACAACATGATGGTGAAAGATAAACAGTACACAGAAGGATTGACAAGTCATTCACTTCACACAGGACAAATACAGCATTCACACAAGTGAGACAAGTATATGAATTTTAAATTCGGATTTGCTATTATTACGGCCGCTCCCAATTTATTTTCAAACATTGGGCCGTAGCAAACCCTGTCAAGGGGCACAGGTAATGACGGTAAATTGTTTTAGGAAACTGGGAGTTCTTGCAACAATAGCACATCCGATTTTTCCTCGCGACATTCATTCAACAAGGAGTACAAACAATATGTCTTTCATTGGCTTGAACACACTTGAGAACGTTCATCGCACCAACAATTTATTTAAATTATCCTGTGCCTCCCGCATGTGTTTACACGCCATGGAGTTGGCACTGTGTTTGTCACCACACCTGTGACATTTCAATGATGTTTTATTTTCACATGTTTCGGAAAGATGTGCACCAGCGCAGTGGCTGCATTTAGCCGCCCTAGTGCACCTCTTTCCGTTGGTGTGGGTTTTGTGACTTAGACTGCCACAGACACCACATGGGAAGACGCGCTTTGCTCTAGCGAGTCTCAGCGAGAGGTAGTCGATCGTGATCCTACCACGCTCGAGTAGGACAGCCTCAACATCCTTATTTACCTCAACTATCGCGGTGGAGGTGGCACCTCTTTTTGAATTAATTTCACCATCCTGATGTTTTCGCCGCTTTTCAGCAGCCTTTCAACAGCGGGATGGTTACTGATATCAGCCACAAGCTGCTCTTCAGTTTTCTCTCCAGGAATACCAAAGATGGCAAGCCTGAGCTTGAATGTGGGGTTTGTTTGGACTTTAAGTCCACCAATGTTGGCGGACTTAACGTTGTCCACAAACCTCTTTTTCTCAGAGGGGTCGGCGAAGTGGAGGACAAGTTTTTTGTCCCCCCCTGTCACCGCGGCTACATCACAGTTCTTTAGACTGGGCGTCTGGGCGATTTTTGCCCTTATCTCGCTAACAGAGAGGTCCGCGGAAGCGAGCTTCACGTGATTAATGCTGTTACGCAGCATATGCGCGTAACTGGGTTCGGATGGTTTGGCAGGCTTAGCACCTGCATTGGCTGGCGGGGTGACTTTTGTCACCTTTGGGGTTGGTTTGGGAGAGGGTGTAGGAGCGACGGTTGTTGTTTCTTTAGAGGCTGTTGCTTCGGCTCTAATTCCAGCGACTCTAAGATCGCAGCACTTCAGCTTATGCTGAAGGATGCCCACAAACGTGTTTTGGATATCGTATAGCAGACCATCCATTTCTCTAAAGAATTGTTTATTAGATGGGGAACCAAGGTCCCCGCTAAGTCGTTTACCTACTTCATGTTGAAAGATCTCACGGAAATATCTGAAAGATGTATTGATTTCATCCCACCCTTCCCTAAATGCTGTGTTAGAGTTTTTTAGGAACAATGGGAGCAGGAGGAGAAGGAGTGACCCTGGGAAACTCACCCAGAGTTGGGGCAGAAGAAGCGGAGGTATCCGCCGCCATAGTGATATATCCAAAGAGTAATCCGCAAGCAAGAGTAATCCACGAGCAATCCAAGATCAAGAGTAATCCAGGGATGTGTGCACAGGTTGGAGTCAGGGACGCGAATGAAGGGACGCTCGTTGGCGTGGAAGTGTTAAATGGCCGAGTGCGGCCGCTTGGAGATCCCGCATTTTGATTGGCTGCGGGCGGAAAAAAATCCGGGGAGGATAAATGGCGTTTGGCGGCCGTCCAAGAGATCCGGGGAATTAAATAATTTTTATCCTCGTCTGGTTTCTTGGTGAATTGGGGCTGGGCGTCCAAGGATGTATCCTTGTAGGACCGCTGGCGCTGGGGAACAGGAGCACAGGAGACCAGGGGCATTATAGAGAAATTCCTATTTAGCTTCGGCATAGGTGGGCAGGGAGAGGATGTTTGCAATTTTTGTTCAAGGAGATGAGTGAGGAGGTTTGTGGAGTTGTTGGCCTCGAGGAGGCGTTGTTGGTGTATTTTCGAGATGTGTGCGAAAGTTTTTTTTAGAGCAAAGCGGAAACCATCAGCAAGGGTGGGGTCAACAGAGTCAGCATAAGGGGCAAGGATGTGATAGGCCCAGTTTAGATGTAGGAGGTGTGAGGGGTTGTTGGTTTAGGAACATGTCACATGTGGGTGGAGGTGAGTCAAGGGTGTAGTGTTGTTGAGTTGGTTGGCGTAGGTGGAGTGGTGTGTGTACATGTGTGGATGAGGTAGGGTGAAGAGGGGTGGAGGAGCTCACCCCTGGTCGACTGCCAAGGTCCAGATTCCCGCCGATGGTAGGGTCGAGCAGGGAGTTGAACATGCTCGGGTGGACAAGCTTCGCCTGTCTGATAGAGGTGCGAAATCTATTATATAATTTCTTATAAAATATCTTTAACACGCTTCTAACAGGCTCACAAGCTTTTCTCCACGCCCTTTCAACTTTTTGAGTTGCCCTTTGGAACGGATTTAGTTCAGGTTTCCACCAAGTGGGTTTCTTAAAAAAAAAATATTGGTGGAAGTTTAGAGGGATTGGTTTGAAGACAGGAGTGAAACACCTCGTCCTCTAGTAAATTAATTACTTCATCAACTTGAGTTGTGTCACTCGCGTCCAGTAAGGAGGAGATTCTAGACATTTTTTTATTAAAGTGAGATAAAAAAAATCCCAGTCGGCGTGACCAAAGCTGAAGTGTATTTCACTAAAGTTGTTTACGTGTATGTCGTTATTGCTGTTAGAAGAGAGGGGTTCAAAATTAACGTTGAACACGAGGTGTTTATGGTCAAATAAAGCCTGGTTGATTGCATTCCAATCGGCGATCCCGTCCGCGAGGCCAGCAGAACAACACGTGACGTCGATGGAGGACCTCTCGCCCTCCTCCCACGTGATCGTGCCGTGTTTGTTAACAACGTGGAGCAAGTTAGCGTCGAGGAAGTTTTCGACAATTTCTCTTTTAGACCATTTGTATTTAAGCAACCGCGCTTTATTTGACCATCTATAGGATTAAATATTAAAGTCCGCGCAAAAAATCACCTCGTGGAAATTAATTGTTTTTAAAGAGTTGTCTATCCTATCAAGAAGAGCATCGGAACAACATGATGGTGAAAGATAAACAGTACACAGAAGGATTGACAAGTCATTCACTTCACACAGGACAAATACAGCATTCACACAAGACAAGTGAGACAAGTATATGAATTTTAAATTCGGATTTGCTATTATTACGGCCGCTCCCAATTTATTTTCAATTATTGGACCGCAGCAAACCCTGTCAAGGGGCACAGGTAATGACGGTAAATTGTTTTTGAAACTGGGAGTTCTTGCAACAATAGCACATCCGATTCCTCCTCGCGACATTATTCAACAAGGATTACAAACAATATGTCTTTCATTGGCTTGAACACACTTGAGAACGTTCATCGCACCAACAATTTATTGAAATTATCCTGTGCCTCCCGCATGTGTTTACACGCCATGGAATTGGCACTGTGTTTGTCGCCACACCTGTGACATTTCAACACAGTTTTGTTTTCACAGGTTTCGGAAAGATGTGCACCAGCGCAGTGGCTACATTTAGCCGCCCTAGTGCACTTCTTTCCGTTGGTGTGGGTTTTGTGACTTAAACTGCCACAGACACCACATGGGAAGACGCGCTTTGCTCTAGCGAGTCTCAGTGAGAGGAAGTCAATCGTGATCCTACCACGCTCGAGCAAGGCAGTCTCGACTTCCTTATTTACTTCTACTATCGCAGTGGAGGGGGCACCCTCTTTCTTAATCAGTTTCACCATCCTCATGTTTTCGCCACTTTTCAGCAGCTTTTCGACAACGGGATGGCTACTTATATCAGCCACAAGCTGCTCCTCAGTTTTCTCTCCAGGAATACCGAAGATAGCAAGCCTGGGCTTGAATGTGGGGTTTGTCCTGACTTTAAGTCCACCAATGTTGGCGGACTTAACGTTGTCCACAAGCCTCTTTTTTTCAGAGGGGTTGGCGAAGTGGAGGACAAGTTTTTTTTATCCCTCCCTGTCACCGCGGCTACATCACATTTTTTTTAAACTGGGAGTTTGGGCGATTTTTGCCCTAATCTCACTAACAGTGAGGTCCGCGGAAGCGAGCTTCACGTGGTTGGTGCTGTTACGCAGCATATGCGCGTAACTGGGCTTAGTTGGTTTAGCAGGCATAGCAACTGCATTGGTTAGCTGGGTGACTTTATTCGTCACAGGGGCTGGTTTGGGAGGAGGTGTTGGAGCATTGGGAGATCCTGCCGAGGAGGGAAGAGGCCTTATCGCAGACTCGGTAGAGGTGAGGGGTGAAGGAAAGACGATCGTCGAACGTAACGCCCAAGATGGTAAGGGTTTCGGGACAGGAGAGGGGGGTGTCATCTATGAGGAGATGGGGAGGGTTGCAGTAAATAGGGAGGACCAGTGACTTATGTGGGGTGAGGGAGAGCTTGTTGTCCAGGCACCAAGAGTGAATGAGGTCGAGGGAGGACTGAGCTAGAGAAGGGAGGCTGTTGGAGGGGCCTGAGACGAGGACCTGAATGTCGTCTGCGAAGGCCTGAACGTGGACGCCGTGGGGGAAGGGGAGGGAGAGAATGGGGTTAAAGAATATGTTCCAGAGCAGGGACCCGCTGATGGAGCCCTGAGCGCACCCCCGCGAGGGAGAGGTGGAGCGAGAGAATCCTCGATAGGAGAAGTGGATAGAGTGGCTGGAAAGGAAAGAGCGGTAAAGTTGGAGGAGGTGGGGGCGGGGGGGCAGGAGGCGGCGACCAGTCGACCGAAAAGGGCGGGATGCCACAGGTGGTCAAAGGCTGATTTGATATCAAGGCTAATGAGGAGACAGCACTGGTATTTGGAAACGGACAGTTTGAATTTTTGATGGAGAAGTGAAAGAGTGTCGGTGGTAGAGCGCCTCCGTCGGAAGCCGAATTGGTGAGGGTGGAGCAGGTGGTTACTCTTTCGAGTAGCTTGCTGAGAATGGGGAGAATTATAATGGGTCGGCATTTATGCTTGAAGTCGGTGGAGGAGGAGCGTTTAGGGAGGAGGAGGAGGCGACCCGCTTTCCAAGCGAGGGGAAACGGCATTGACATCTCCAGCGAAGAGAAGGCGAGGGGGGGGAGGGGAGCCAAAGAGGGAGATAAAGGAGTCGATGATGGGGGAGTAAGAAGTATGGTGGGGAAAGTAGACGGAACAAAGGGTGAGGTGGAAGGGATGTCCAGGATTGCGATAGTGCGGTTGCTAGTGGAGAGACGCGGGAGGAAGACTATGGGGAGGCTCTGGTTAAGGATCACTATGCAAGAGTTGCAGCGGTTGTTGGAGATGGGAGCGTGGAGGAGGAGGGGGTGGGGAAGGGGGAGGGGAGGACGTTGTCGTGGACTGGAAGCTCTTGGAGGAAAAGGATATCTATGTGTGAGGACTGGGCGAACTGTATTATGGAGAGGTAGCCGAAGAGGGATCGGTTGCAATTTAATTGTAGGAAGCTGATCATATGAGGTTGTGGGTGATTAAGAAAGTGTTTTCGGCGGCCTTGATGACCGGCCAGGAGAGTGAGTCTGCCCGGTGTTGGCCGTCGCCGCTGCAACGGAAGCATTTGGGTGGGAGGGTGGTGGAGGTAACAATCGTTGGTGTGGTGTGTGTCGCCGCAGTGTAGACACCTGGCTGGTTTGTTGCATATGTCGTTACGGCAGGGGTGCGTGGATCTGGTTCTTTTGAACCTGATGGAGTTGTAGCCGATGAAGAGGCGGGTGCGGGTTTGTATGTCGGTGGCGGTTTCGTGGTTTGTTTCTATGATGGCGTGAACGGAATTGTTGCGGCCGTTAAAGGTCCTGATTAATGTACAGTCGGGGCCGACCGATTGGGTGAGGAGGGAGGGTAGGTCATTGAGTGGGAGGGTGTTGGGGAGGTTAAAGAGAGTGAAACGGGGTTTAAATTTGGGGGGAAGGGTTACATTGATATCAGAGCCTGTGGTAGCGTGTTTAAGTTTGGCGAAAATGTTGTCCATGCTTGTTTTTGTGTTGGTGTGTAAGATTAACTTGTTCCTGGAGCGGAATATGTCGGTGATTTGGGTTGTGGGGGAAGCGAGGGTGGAGAAGCAAATTTTTGAGCGGAGGTTGTTGTCTATGGGGGTGCTGGCGGAGTTGTCTTGAGTGATGAGGATGTGGTAAGGGTTGTTGCGGTTAGAAGGGGGAGGGGGGCGGCGGGGTGGGATGTGTGTGGTGTGGCAGGGGGGAGGGGGAGTAGGAGAGGGGGGTAGGGGTTTAGAGGTGGTGGAGGGCGGGGTTTTGTGGGTAATGGTGACTGGATGGTTAGGGGAGGTGTTAGCAACAACTCTGGTAGTAGGTGTTACAGGGGTATCAGGCAAGGTGCACGCTTTAGTAGTAGGGGGTAGGTGGGAAGAGGGATTTGGTTGGGCAGCCAAGAACAGTGAGGATGAATATTCTAGCTCGTGGATCCTACGTGTGTAGGAATCTCTGAGGGTGGCTATAAATTTTTCGAGGTGTGAAATGACACATGCGCCAAGATTGCTGTCTGTGTCACTGATATGGTGACACAGCATTGTACAGTTTTTGGCCGCCCAATCAAATGCCTGGTACAAGGATGTCGTGTTGGAGGTAATAGAGTAGGGCAAGGAGGGTGGAGGTGAGGTCAATGTGAAGTCACGTGACAAATTCAGGTCCTGTTCTGAGCTTGAGTTTGATGTGGCTGATGGAGGATGGATAGGGGGTGGAAGCACTTACCCCAGGCCGGCTGCTATGGATGAGGTTACCTCCAATTGTTGGGTCCAATAGGGAGTCGATAATCCAAATTGTGCTTTATTTTTTTGGTTCCACAGATCTTCAACCATAATATTATCTCGCATTCTTATCTCATTTCCAAATAAAGTATGGGCTCTTTCGTCTGAATCTCGCTCAATCAGTAATTGCGTAAATTGAAGGAACTTCTCCCAAAGATTATGCAGTTCCATTTTATTCACTTGATCTATGCATTGATCCCACCATTCTGATAGCTCCAGTATGGAGGCAATGAGATTTGGTTTTTTTACATGGAGATTATGTAAAACAAGTATTTTATCATGAATTTCAATAAAGGGCATAGCTTAATCGCAATTTCTCTTGTTTCAATATATTTCAAAAAAAAAAATCCAGTTGAATATCCGAAATTGGCATCAAAATCTCTGTAATTTCTTCCATCTCTAAATTCAGTCGTTAATAATATTATTACATATATATATTGCAAGATAGCTAGAAGGTGAACAATCATCAATTCCTCTTATATTTAAATCTGCTCCAAACTCAATTAATAATTTTATAAGTTCTCTATTCCAAAATATATTGCACAATTTAGAGGTAATGTTTCTTGATGATTTTTTTTCATTAACGTTTATACAACCTAACTCTAACAGAAATTTTGAAATTGAAAAATTATCTTCGATACATGCATGTAAAAATGCTGAATCACCATTATTGTCAGTTTCATCAATTTTCACTCCTGCTTTAAGTAATTCAATCAAAATATCCTTTTTGTTAGCTATTGCTGCAACTATTAAACATGTTCTACCATTTTCAGCTCTTGAATTTGCATCCGCGCCAGGCTTCTAACAATAACCTAACATTTGTAAGACTTTCCATACTGGAAAAAAATAAGGGTGTACAACCTCTTTTATCACAAGCGTTTACATTTGAGCGACATTCTAATAAAATTTTGAGAATATTTATATTATCTTCTTTAGCTGCATACATCAAAGGAGTAAGTTCTTCTGAATCTTTGCTTCTAAATCTGCATTTTTTAAATCAATATTTCGCAAAAAGATTTAAATTGTAAATACACAGCTAAATGTAAACATGTAATCGAGTTTTCATATTTCAGGTGAATATTTGCACCTTTCTCAAGCAAGAGTTCAAATAATTGAAGATTACTTTGATCAAGAGAAATAAATAGTGTTGTTTCTAGGGTGTGTGGCCGCTCAGGAGAACCCGCGTTTTGATTGGCTGCGGGCAAAAAAACAAATTCTGGGAGGGAGAATCGGCGAAAGTTAACCCTTAGGTCATTTAGCTGGGGACATTCAAAAAATATGTGGTCAACCGTTTCAGGGGCGTGTTGGCAGTCAGGGCACATTACATCTCGCAAGAGGTCCCTCCTCCTATACCTGTAGGTTCTGATAAATGTGTGGCCGGTGAGGAAACCTGTGATAATTTGCGAAGAGGGGTGGATAAACTTTTGTTCTCTAAGGAGCGAAAGAGGGGAGATTTTGAAGGTCTGGTAGATGGTAGGGTTCTTATCACGGAATTCAACATCCCAGCGATCCCAGAAGCGGCGCGAGGTGAACTTGAGCAGGTGGTTATTGGAGGCCAAGGAATACACTGGGGGCGATAATGAGTCAGCGGCGGCTTGGCATGCCAGCAGATCGGCGAGACAGTTCCCAAAAATGCTGGCATGGCCTTTAACCCAGTGCAGGGTGACGTGTCTTTGAGGGAGGAGAGAAAAAAGTAGCCTCTGTATTTTGAAAACCAGGGGGAACCTTATATCGGGGTTGGAGATGGCGTGAAGAAGAGAAAAGCAGTCAGAAAAGATCCCAACAGAGAGGTTAGGAGGGAGGGTAGAGACGTCCCGGAGCGCCGTGAGGAGAACAAAGCTCTCAGCCTGAAATACGCTGCAGTGAGAGGCAAGATGTAGGGAGAGGGCCAAGGGTAAGATCCCAAGAGAGGAAGAGGAAATTCTAGCGATGCCAGAACCTACCCCCTTTTTGGTTTTGGATCCATCAGTAAAGTAGCAGACATCAGGAGCTGTAGGAGGGATGGGACGGTGAGAGAGATCGGGCAGAAGAGGTGGAGACGGGTAGAAGAAGGGAGAAGGTCTTTTTTCAACTTGGAAGGGCAAGGGCTCGGGTGGGCGCGAAGCAAGGAGAGTAAAATGATTTTTAGATCGAGAGGAAGGACCCTAAGAAGAGTTATAGCAGCGAAGGTGGGGGCGCTATGAGGCGCTGGCTGTATGTTTGTGTGAGGTGTGAGAATGTTATGTCAAGGGTAGTTTCAAATTAGTCGGCGTTTGAGGGGGTGAGGATACAGGCGAATGGAGCAAGGAGTCTCAGAGAGGGGTAATCAATGGAAAAATGCTCGAGCAGAGCAGCCTCGATATCTTTGTTTACCTCTAATATCGCTGTGGAGGGTGAACCCTCGTTCCTTATCAGTTTAACAATTCTACAATCGGCGTCGTTTTTCAACATTTTCTCGAGAGCAGGATGGCACCTAATATCAGCCGCAAGCTGCTCCTCGGTTTTCTCAGCTGGAACCCCAAAGATAGTGGGCCTGGGCTTAAATGTAGGGTTCGACTGGACTTAAGACTGCCAATGTTAGCGGTCTTAACCTTGTCAACAAACCTCTTTTTTTCAAAGGGATTAGTTTTTTTTTTTTGCTTATCCCTAGTACACGTGGTACAGGCCATGATAATCATGGTGGGTAGTTAGCGACTGCTTTTACTGTAAGTGCACCACATGTCTACACATGTGAAAAGCAGTTCGACTTTGCACTTACTAATGCCAGAGCCCCGTTTGGTTACTTGCACTCGCTGGTGGGGTTGGACTTTTGCAAGAATCGGGGGCCATTGGAGCATTTTTTTTCTTTAAACAGAAAAAAGTGTCCAATGCGGGTTCGAACCCGGGTCCTAGTGGTCGAAAACCAAATGGTTTAACCAGGTGGAGGACCAGTTTTTTATCCTCCCCCCAGTCACAGCGGCAACATCCAAGTTCTTCAAACTGGGAGTCTGAGCAATTTTTGCCCTTAGCTCCTTGACAGAAAGATCGGCGGAAGCCAACTTAACATGTTTGGCACTGTTACGCAGCGTCTGAGCGTAGCTGGGTCGTGAGGGCTTGGTCAGATTAACACTGACACTAGCTGGCAGCGTGACTTTTGTCACTGGAGCGGATTTGAGGTCGCAGGCCTTCAGTTTGTTGGCCAGAATGTCAAACAAGGAGTGCTGCAGACTCGTCAACATCCCGTTAATTCTATGGTACATCACCCAGTAAGGTGATGCACCCATGTCCTTACCCAGGACCGTTCCTATCTTCCCATACACCATAGTTAGACATTCAGTGAAGCTGGTGCCTATTTCTTCCCACCCTTCGCCGAATGCCTGGTTGGAATCAAGAGGCCTGATGGGTGAAGTAGAGGGAGAGACCCGGGGATACTCACCAGTGGGAGGGATCTCAGGTTGAACAAGCCTGATTCCATGCCAAGAGGGGTCCATTGTATTAGCGTCGCTTTTTTTATTATTGCATCTAACCAGGGGGGTGTCCATCATGCCGTCGAGGGATGATCAGTGGAGCCTCGCTCGTAAGCTTTTAAATTACTCAAAACAAAATGACTCATGTAGAACTTGAGCCAAAAAAAGGAAAAACTCCGCAGGTTGTGGGATGGGTGATACATGGGCACGGAATGTGCTGGTTGACAGTCAATATGAACAAGTTGGTACAGATGGGTATGATGTGGAAGGGATGACAGAAGTTTACAACAATATATGTACAACAAACAAAATGAGCAAGATAAACAACAAGGGGGAATGTGGGAACGTATGACAGACTACGGGCTATGGATTACAATAGGGAAAAATCATCAGACTGTGGAATATTTTCAGGCACAAACCTACCATAGTTGTTGCCGAATTCACACGCAGAATGCCAAAGAACACTGGAGTCGGCGAACTCAGAGAGGGTGGTTGGAATTTAAATCTCTCTTCAGAAACTGGCTTGTTAGAATAAGCTTCCTTTGCTCGTCCAAGTTTTCAACAGAATCTCTTCTGGAAGAGATAAATTTAAGCAACCGTGCTTTATTTGACCATCTGTCAAAAAAATACCTCGTGGAAATTGATTGATTTTAAAGAGAGGTCTATCCTGTCAAGAAGGGCGTCAGGACAACATGATGGCGAAAGATAAACAGTAAACAGAGGGATTGACATGTCATTCACTTCACATAGAACATTCACACACGACAAATGTTCATCACCTGTTTTCTCCAGACTTTCCCCACATTATAGTTGAGCCCTACCTGAAGCACAGTGGTTGTACCTGAAGGTCATCAGTATCTCTTCAGTTATTTCTTCTCATTTAAATTAGGATTAACAAATTGTGCAACATTTGTTTTGAGCTATTTCTTGTATACAAATAAAATGTCATTTGTGATCATCTATAAATTTTGTTCACAGAAATTGCTCCCCCCAATGTTGGGTTTGAATCTTGTCAGGGGAAAATTTGTAGCTTTCACCAGAATTTTTATTACTACTTCTAGTGTTTTTCTATTGAAATTTCTTAGTCCTCCAAGTATTAATGCCTTTTATATTTTTGAGTATTTTATAAAAGCCTTAGAGATTGAATTGTCCTCTTATTTTATTTCCTTTTGGCCCCATAAGAGCTATCCAGATTATTAAATGTTAATGTGATAAATTGTTGTGGTTTACAATACATACATTATCCCATAGTATCATTAAGAGGAGCCTATCATGGTAGAATTTGTTGTGGGTCCTGTTCTAGTCTGGTGGCTTCCATGCATGTCTACCCACCCATATAGTGGATGTACTTTGACACAATTGTAATCATGGGCCAGGTTTGTGGTGGTTGGAATGTCGCCAGGACTTCGCAGTGTGACCTCTATATTGTCGCTGGATTAGATTTCTTTCTCGGGGACCATGCTGACCCAACTAATTCAAGTCTGGAAACCATAGCCTTTAATTGATGCAATTATGTGGTTATTTAATTGAATTTTCTCTTTTAACACTTTGCTATATAGATTTTTTTTTCTAAAAGTATTTTGAAACATAACAAACAAAAAGACACTATACAAAACATAAACAAAAAGTTTTTATTTATAATGTTTGGATTATCAGTAAGGTTGACCCAAATAGGTACTGTAAATAATGTCATTATGATACCAGACACTTGTTAGATTATGACAATGGAATTGTGTTAACATATATTTATGATCTGTTTATAGTGGCCTCTCTAGTTGATTAGCTAGCTATGCAAATTTACTTACTTATTTCTTTGTAATTGTGTAAATAATGTCATTATGATACCAGACACTTGTTAGATTATGACAATGGAATTGTTAACATATATTTATGATGTGTATATAGTGGCCTCTCTAGTTGATTAGCTAGCTATGCAAATTTACTTGCTTATTTCTTTGTAATTATGTAAATAATTTCACGCTTCATATATGTAAAATATTTTTGTTTAATAAATTCCAATAATGAGAATGGTGTCTTTATTTACATCCTGGCAATGCAACATCTACACAGTCATCTTCCATTGAATGGGGAATATTTAGAGCTCTTTCCACCTTATCCCACACCTTGATGGTTGCCAGCATTGATACAACAGTGTTGTGTTTTCTACAAGGGTGGATCAATAATAAATGATAAAAGTTTAATAGAAAAGGAAACAAATGTATATACACTTTTAAATTTAACTCTGTTGTTATATTAGAAAAAATTCTCAAGAAACCATCTGGCAACATTTTTTTTCCAATAAAAATGGTGACCAAAACAAACAGTTGCACCAAGTATGAAATGCGATCAGTAGTACTTTTTTTTTTTTTAAATCATGAAGGAGTTAAAACCATTTCAAAATAACTCCAGAATGAAATATGTTTACAGTGATAAATGTGTACCTCAAATTGAATTTTTGAGTAGGTTAAAAATTGAAAAGCGGTATAGAAAGTTTGGATGATGCACCGCGACCTGGCACCTCGTCTAAGGTTTGTGATGATGTAACCACCTGGCCCATTGACGAGATGATACAATACAAAAAAAATCTCATTCAGTACTTTTGTCTGAAGATGGTAACAACGCTGTTACAGAAATGTCACACACTATTTATTTGGATTTGGTCCATTACCTTTTGTTTAGAGTGTCTAAAAATAAAATGATTTCCTACTACAGTAAAACCTCCCTGTAAAGGACACCTAATTGCAGAGCCAAAGTGTCCTTTAGGGAGAGGTGTCCTCATACCGGGGAATTGCTAAATTGTAAAAATGGTAATTTTGCAAATGAAAACAGTCCTTTGTGGAGAGGTGTCCTCTAAAGGGAGGTTCTACTGTAGTCTCATATTTGAATGGGTATAGAAGAATGTAATCAAGATGTTTAATATGATGTGCAGAGAGTGAAAACTACAGGCTTTCCTATAGAGAGTTGTTTAAGGTTTCGGCAAAGACTCCATTAGCCACTTTGAGAAGTTAGGTGGCTCAGAGTTAGAGAAGAGTAGACATGTTCAAAGTAGTGTAATTGATAGAAAGGAATCAGAGTTAGACAACCAACTCCTCAGAGGAATGAAATTACCTCACCTAGACTCATTCAGATTGATCATCAACATAGTCATATTGATATTTTGCCGTGTCACAATGCCCAGCATAGTACACATTTGTACAATTGCCACTATTTCTTTAGAGGTTGTGTAAATTAGGCTAGATAGTTATTTTTTATTCGTTATCATTAACCCATGTTTATTTTAATCTTATTATATTATGGATTTATATTTAAAGGGAATACCTAATAGAATATTTGTGCATAGTAATGTCATGAACTTGTGAAAGTGGCTAATTTTTTATATATATCATTAAAAAATTTTTTTGAGAGATATTTATTGTTTGGTTCTTTAATGTGTGGATGCTTAAAGGATCCATGTCTTCCGCATTGGAGCACCAAAAACTTTTCTTGAATTATCCCTTTAGTTTTTGATGCTTGTGGGAGGGGAGAATGCTGAAGACGAACCTAACAAAATTAGTTGTAAATAGCTGGTGGCCTAAATAAATGGAATGAAAAGTAGCGGAGCAATGTTTATAATAAGAAGAGCTCACCTGTATGTTAGAGTGTTGTGGCAGGACAGTCCCTGAGGACCAATTCTGACAGCCAACTGTAGCATGCAGCCTGGACTATGAACCAAGGAAATGCCATGTTACAGGGGCTCACCTGTATGTTAGAGTGTTGTGGCAGGGCAGTCCCTGAGGACCAATTCTGACAGCCAACTGTAGCATGCAGCCTGGACTACGAACCAAGGAAACGCCATGTTACAGGAGCTCACCTGTATGTGAGAGTGTTGTGGCAGGGCAGTCCCTGAGGACCAATTCTGACAACCAACTGTAGCATGCAGCCTGGACTACGAACCAAGGAAATGTTACAGGAGCTCACCAGGGAGTGTGTGTGAGGAGCTATACCAAGCCTGTTGTAAGTGCTGGAAAGTGTTGCCAAAATATTTTTTATAAAAGGGCCTACAGACCTCCCTGGCCTTCCTAGGGACTACGCACCTTATGTGACCTGCCACACCCCGACTCCAAGAGGCCCTCAGTGATGGAGGCAGACCTGTGAGGTTCCATAGCCTGAAGAAGATGACTAGTCAATAGAAAGGCCTGAACCCCAATAACCACAGCCTCAACCTTCAACTGAGATGAAGGCCCGGAACACATCACCCAATAAAGTATGAAATTGTCTTTTGTTCTTTCTATTTTTTTTTTTTAATATTTATAATTTCATTTAAAAAAAAAATAAACATAATACATATAGATATCATTAGATTATATGGATTGCTCTATTTCAGAAAAAAAAATATATATATCATTTTGAAAATTATATATATAGTCGACTCTCGATAATTTGAAACTCAAGGGACCAAAGAAAATTTATCAAAATAACAAGAGTTTAAACAACTAAGAGGTTTCGTGTCTTGCCCTTTGTCAAACACGTTTGATCTCAAATTTTACACTTGTTCAATTATTCACAAATCATCATTTTAGAAAGAAGTCAGTAATTGATAAGGCACAATTGGATTATTGATTATAAACACAAGGTAATAAGAACAAATAGTGTGTGACGTTACAGCGTTGTTACCGAAACGTCGCACACTATTTATTTGGTCTTATTACCTTGTGTTCAAGTCAGTGGTTTTTTGTTGAGTGAGTATCATTGTCCAATGAATTTTAAATAGTGAGAATTGTGAAGAAATCATTATTTGTGGCGCATAGGGTAGTAAGAGATATCCTTGCCTCGCTCGGCGTGGGAAATTTGAGCTCTAACTTTGTTTAGTTAGTTCACACTTAGGTCTGGCTTGAAAAAGTCACCGGCAACATTTTCCTCATTTTTCAGATAGAATCTTACATTTTAATAAAATCAAGTAAACAAGAGTTTAATCAAAATTCAAGATTTATTATTTTAAACATTTGTAGTCATTGACAAATGTTTATTTGTGGTAAAATACTATTCCAACAACTTCAAATTACCGAGGGGACCTTTTAATATTGAATTATTCAAATTATCGAGAGTAGACTATATGTACAGTATAACCTCGTAATTCGACACTCGACTATAATTTGGCCATCTTCTAATGTCCTGACCACCAGCCTATCAAATAACAAACCGTAATTCGACATTATCAATAATACGACACTTCCGATAGTTCGACCATTTTAAAATTCAAATTTCAACAGTTGAATGTGTAAAAATACAACTATACCGCTAAAAAGGTATTACAGCGGCGGCGACGATAGGATCGCGCCTGTGCACTATTGGTTTCTGTTGTAGGTGATCATTTTAGAAATTCCTAAGAGAAAATATGTAAATTGTTCTAGCTGTTTGATTTAGAAGTTGTGTATGCAAATTTCTTTTTGTAAAAAGTTTTTTTTATTTTTTTTTTTTATGTTTGGTATATCTAAAAATTGTATGCGGAGAATAGAGGTTTTTCTTTGGGTTGCTTGTTATGTGTAAATGAGTGTGGAAGCTGATCTGTTTTGTTTAAAGATAATATATCAGTGATATATTATTACTTTACTCTGTTTTGATCATCTTGTTTTTATCATCATCTTGTAGACAACAAAATGTTTGTGAAACAATGAGCACATGTGCAAGAATTGTAAAAAGAATAAAATAATTATAATAGCATAAAATTGGTGTATCTTTCATTTATCTTTAAATATATATAAAGTGCAATTTCTTATAAAATAATTTTCACCATTAATATTCAACCTTTAATAGAAACGTATCAAATGGCGACGAAGAATTAATGTAAGTATGGCCACCACTAATTCAAATATCCAAGGTTTCGTGAAGGTGAAGATCTAAAT